AAAAAAAGATGATTCTTCAAGGGTTCTTTAGTAAAGAAAATGGTTCAGTATAGAACCATGAATACTAAAAGAACCCTGTGCACGATTAAGCGGTTCTTTGCATCATTTAATGGTTCGTCAGATTAATGGAGAATTTACGATGTAACCATAGAAGAACCCTTTTTGGTGCTACATAGGACCCTTTTCAAAAAGGTTCTATATAGAACTATATACAGAACATTTTCCATCAATGTGCAAAGAACACTATAATCTTGTAAATGGTTCTTTAAGTGTTCATCGTTCTACATAGAACCATTTTCTTTACTAAAGAACCCTTGAAGAACCATCTTTTTAAGTGTGTATGAACCCTTTGTGGCTCTTTTAGAGCGTGGCACTGTTCCAGAAAGCAAAGCTTATCATCCTCAAGAATGGACAGTGTTTTCTGACCAAATATGAGGAAATTATTTATTAAAACGAGGAAATTTGAGTGGAACGTTTCTTTAAGTGTTCCTCGCTCATAGAGAACCTATGCCAAATATACCATCACATATCAAGAACGCTTCCAAAGCTGAAGCAGCTGCTTCATGCCTGCATATCTGGGCTGCTGTCTTCAGCGCTGAGCGAGTGCGAGGCTGATGAAGCGCTCTGATTGGCTGCTAACGAGGCTCTGCTCTGTCTGCTCAGTGTGAGAAACTATTGTTCCATGGGGCTGAATGCAGAGATGCTTGTTTGGGAAAAGGTTGCGAAGTCATGGGAAAAAGGAGCTTTGTTTCTCTGAGGGTCGTTTCTCTGAAGCACTCGAGCGGACGTGTTTTTGGAGCGGACGCACACACACAGCTGCTCCAAACACACACACACACACACACACACACACACACACACACACACACACACACACACATACACACACAAACTTGCCAACAGTGATATGCATTTGAAGTAGGCACATACTTAACCACTGTTTTGACGGGATTAGTTTTATATGGGGAGATTAAGTAATTTAATTATTATCTGCATTTATCTCTGATTATATTAATATCATGATATGAAATGAACCATTGAAATAAACCCATCTTAAATGAATCCTGTGCTATAAAACAAAACGATAGAAATAATCCCAGGTTATATTAATCCTGTGATATTAAACAGAACAGTAGATATAACCTCAGGTTATATTAATCCCGTGCCATGAAACAAGACAACAGCTATAACCCCAGGTTATTATAATCCCATGACATGAATCAAAACAATAGATATAACCCCAGATTATATTAATCCAGTGCTATAAAATAAAACAATAGACATAATCCCAGGTTATATTAATCCTGTGCTATCAAACAAAACAACATATATAACCCCAGGTTATATAAATTCTGTGCTATCAAACAAAACAATAGATATAATCCCACGTTATATTAATCCTTTACTATAAAACAAAACAATAGAAATAATTCCAGATTATATTAATCCCATGTGAACTGGCATGTCAGTAAAAATGCTATATATTCTGAAATAGAAATAGAAAAACACTTGAAGCTGTTTTCTGTGGCTGAAACCAAACCCATATGTATTGTTCCGCCTCACTTGCATGACTCAGAACATTAGAACAAGTAAAATAACCCAGTTTTTTGCAGTGATGTTGACTGTTGACTTGGAAAAAAGAAGTACATAAATCAAGCAGCCACTCTCAATTCTGTCACTTCATCTGAGATTCCTTATCCTGTGTGAATAAGCATTACAGACGTCCTGCTGTAAAACTACATTTCCCACTTTACCATGGAAAACGAACCTCGTTCTAATAGTACTTTACACATATTCACTCTTAGCTGCATGGTACGTGCACATATAGACAAACAAACACAGCTGCATCACACACACACATGGCTACGGTCCAGTAGGGGGGGGCGGTCTGAATATGTGGGTGTGTGAATAGCCTCAGTGTGATATGGCTTCCTGGCCAAAGGCTGGCAGGACCTGAACTCAAGACCCACTTTCACAACCAAATTAGACTCATCGTCAGTCTAAACGAGGCTGCATATACATACAAACACCCACAATCCATGAATTATCGACATTATCAGGCACGTGGCCAGATTAGAGGTCCATTCCCAACTCACCCCCTACACTCCCAGAAATAAAGGTAGTAAACTGTCAAAAGGTCAGTCCCCCTCGTCACTGGGGTGGGACCCTCAAGCGTACATCTCAGTACCTTTAGTCAGGGAACATAACTGAACCATAATCCACTGAAATGATATGTTCTAAGCTGTACTGACTCCACACACCCCGTCTCGTCTCCAGGCTTTTATTTTACTGTTCTGTTTTAAAACATTCGGTTATGAAAAGGTACAAATACAAACTTTTCACCTGGAGAAACTTATTTAAGGACCTGAACAGAACCACAAGGTTCAGTCTGGATTTATCACGCGCAACATTGGGCTCGAGTTCCGAACATGGTTCTGTGGGAACCAAAAGTGGTTCTTCTACAGTCTTAAAAAAGATGATTCTTCAAGAGTTCTTTAGTAAAGAAAATACATAGATATGTATATAGAACCATGAACACTCCTGTGTATGATTAAGCGGTTCTTTGTATCATTAAATGGTTCATCAGATTAATGGAGAATATACTTCAAACAGTTCTATATAGCATCAAAACGGGCTCTGCTATTAGTTACAATGTAAAGCTTGTAACCATGGAAGAACCCTTTTTGGTGCTATATAGGACCCTTTTCGAAAAGGTTCTATATAGAACTATATACAGCACATTTTCCATCAATGTAAAGAACGCTTTTACAATGCAAAGAACATCATGCAAATGGTTCTTTAAGTGTTCATCGTTCTACGTAGAACCATTTTCTTTACTAAAGAACCCTTGAAGAACCATCTGTGTGTATGGTATCACTCAAAGAACCCTTTGTGGCTCTTTTAGAGCGTGGCACTGTTCCAGAAAGCAAAGCTTATCATCCCCAAGAATGGACAGTGTTTTCTGACCAAATATGACAGAATTATTTATTAAAATAAGGAAATTTGAGTGGAACGTTTCTTTAAGTGTTCCTCACTCATAGAGAACCAACACAAAATATACCATCACATATCTAGAGCATATCCAAAGCTGAAGCAACTGCTTCTCTAAACTGTCACTGGGTCAGTCCCCCTCTTGTCACTGGGGTGGAACCCTCAAGGGTCCATCTCAGTACCTTTAGTCAGGGAACATAACTGAACCATAATCCACTGAAATGATATGTTCTAAGCTGTACTGACTCCACACACCCCGTCTCGCCTCCAGGCTTTTATTTTACTGTTCTGTTTAAAACATTCGGTTATGAAAAGGTACAAATACGAACTTTTCACCTGGAAAAACTTATTTAAGGTTCACAATCAGAACCACAAGGTTTCAGTCTGGGTCTATCCCATGCAACTTTAGGCCTGAGATGTAGGCCTCAGGTGTGTTTTGTGTTTATTTCTGTCGTGTTTTTACTGTAGAAGGTTTCACGTACTCTCACACTCTCTCTCTCGCGCTCTGTCTCTCTCCCTGTCTCATAACGTTAGCTGTGCTCTAAACAGCTCCTGAGTTCGAGAAGTGGGTAAACATGCCCCTGAATGAAACCAGGGACAAAGTTCAACAGCACATCAGTCGCTCCTCAGATGATGAGAGGGAGTGTTGGGTTGGTGGAAAGTCACAGCAGACCTTTCCTCTTGTTTGGTAAGTTTGCCAGGAGTTTGCTGCAGTGACAGCAGTAGCGTGAGGAACTTTAGCGCAGCAGGGCTAACAGGTGATCAGAGGAGGGTGTGGGTTGTTTTCTTTTGGCAAATTCCATAAAATTATACTGATAATAATAATGTTTAATGTTTAGTAACAGTATATACAGTATATAGTGCTGGTTTTTACAACTTATGAAAATGTGAAAAAGCAGCAGGTCAAAAAACTATTAAAGTACTGAGTAACTGCAGTGAAGAACTGTTTGTATGGCTCTATTCTTCTCTTTTTGGGACTCATTTTGTCTTAAATAAAATGCTACAGCTCAGAGATGTGACCAATCACAAAGCAGCACAGATCAGTTGTCAACCACAACAGAATAAAATTAAACAGAAAAATGTAGTGACTAAATATGATTGGCTAAAATGTAAATGAGTAAAAAGTACACACTGCAAAAAATAGTATCTTGTCAAGTAAAATTATCTTATTATTTTGAGACGGTTGTGCACATATTATAAGTAATTTTATTACTTCTCACTGTACTGGCAGATAACCTGTTTCAGAATTCATTACTTTCACTTATTAGAAGATTATTTAGCTTATTCCTAGACATTTTACCTGTTCAAGCACATTTCTTAAAACAAGCAAAATGATCTGCCAACATAGTGAGATAATTTTACTTAATAAAATCACTTAAAACAGGTAAGAAAATGCTTGGAAAAAGTTACATAATCTTAAAATAAGCTTGTTAAGCAATATGCAATCTCAACAGGAGAAATACTGGATGTATCAAGTAGATTTATGATCATTTTACTTGACAAGATGTAGAAGTAAAAGTATTATGACTTAAAAATACTCAAGAGAGCACAAATTATCAGCACTGTACTTGAGTAAATGTAACTAGTTATGATTCACCTCTAATATAAATCAATTCTTTTGATTCCAAGCTAAATAATCAATAAATTATTATTGAAATTCAAACTGAGTTAATCAGACAAAGTGTTTTGTTTTGGTCTTAGGCTGGGCCGCGGGCTCAAAGTCATAGAAGTGGTCAGTCTAGCAGAGTCGGTTGGTGATTGTTCATGGATAAAGAGGCTGCTGGATGAGCTGCAAGACAGCCCAGCTGATTCTTGCCTGTGATTGGTGGAGGGGGGTTGATTACTGATTGGTGGGCTGATTTGTAAGGCGGTGGTGATGGTGTGGATGCGCGTGTGGGTTTACATGGCGTCTGGTCGCATCTGTCAACCAGAACTGATTGCCGTGAATTTCCATTGTTACGCGCTGACGTCACGCACACACGCACACATACACAGATTTGAAGACACACCTGGATCTGCTGCTGCAGGAGGTTGATTTTGTGTTGCTGCTGCAGGAGCTGCTGCTGTTGCCGAGCGATCTGGAGATACAAGAGAACACAAAGCGACTGTCAGCTCGAATATTCAGAAACAGAAAGTTACCTCAGGGCACACATGCACGTACACAACACTGCAGACGTTTGGTATCACTGTTGAACTCATGATAGTGTCTGTGTTTGGGTTGATCGCTGCATCGACTTTAACTAAAACCTTATTCCTGCATATATTACACCTCCATCACACTGTACCTGTGTTCCACGTGGAAACCATGGATTTAACTCTTATTCCCATTCTTTTTAGATAATCTCTGATTGGCTTCTAACAGTAGTCATTGATTTTTATTGGTTAGTCTGTAAACTGAATGACTGGGTTCATGCTTCTTTTTTTCATTTAGTTGGTTTTGTTCAAATGTTCCTTAAATATAGGAATAGCGCGTTTGTGCTTTTTGGACTGATTCAATGTACGGTTTTCATAAAATGATTACTCAAAGAGTTCATTTTCATTTCCCATTGAAAATGAATGGCCGGAATGTTCAGGACTTTCAGTCTAACCAAGAGTGAATTTAAGGTAGCAGGAGATTTAAGGCGGCAGTGAATTTAAGGTATCAGTAAATTTAAGGTGGCAGTGAATTTAAGGCGGCAGAGTATTTAAGGTATCAGTAAATTTAAGGTGGCCGTGAATTTAAGGCGGCAGTGTATTTAAGGTAAAATTACGCACATATGTAGAGAACCACTTAGTGTAGACGTTACTATGACAGCCAGCATCACGTGAGTCCTGTCAGAGTGAGATGAGCAGCAGTGAGCAGTGCTTGTGTTTTTAACTGCTTTAAAATGATGTCAGACTCAGGAAAACGTCCTTCACATGTCCTTATTAAAGAAGGCCGAGAGGAAGACGTCGTGTTCTGAGACACATAAGCTGGACGTCCGTCCCACCGCCGTCTTTTAAAGATCAGAGCATAAACTTCGTCTCCTCTGCAGACCAGTTTCTGCTCCGCCATGTTGAACGGTATAAACTTTCACTATGACGAGACGAACATGATCAGAACGGACTTAAACTTTCCGATAGGGAATGTAATCAGATACAGGCGTTTACACGGATATTATTCTTCTATTTAATGGATTATTTACAGGATTTCCCACCTCGTTCAATCGGATAGAAACTGCATTCTGAATGGCCTCAATTGGACTAGTCTATTCCGATTAAGGTGTACACATGAACACGTATTCTATTCCGAATGAGCTATTTGGATTATTAAGGGATTATCAGGCTGCATGTAAACGTGGCTAATGAAACAGTGTCCTAATTTATCTGATAACAGTTACATATGGAACAAATAATTTTCAGATTATATTAATTACAAATAACTGAGAAGAAATCCGTCCCGCCAGAGGAATGGCCACTAGGGGTCCTGCAGAAAGAGGCTAATCCAGTAAAAGCCGCCACGCTACCTTCACTCATAAGGCACTGCATGTGTTTGGGTGCGTTTCTGTTTGCTGAGTGTACTGGAAGTCATCGCCGTGTGTTTTCGTGCTTGTGCGCAGACACGAGGGAGGCTGTGAGGAGGCGATGTTACACCTGGAGCACAGTTTATGTGAACGTGTTCCCTTTGTACAGTTTCCCAGCAGCGACTTCATGCACAACAAAGCTCCAGAACACTCTTCTCTATGCAAATAGCTGCAGACGCCTGCCTGTGTGCTGGAGGGGACTGGAACACTCTCAGGTTTCTCTCTCTCTCACACACATTAGCCCTGTGATTGTGGTTTAAGGTGGTGTGTGTACGCAGTGTGCTGGGCTTGCCTCTTCTCCCGTGTGGTTGAGTGTGTGTGCTGATCTGGACTGAGCTTTATTCAGCTCTCCTCACAATGCGCGCAGTGTGAGTCTGGATTTCCACCCGTGTGCCCGCCTTATAAACGAGCGAGTGTGTGCACGCACTTACACACACCTGTGAAACACAGTACGCGCTTCATCTGGTCATTCTGCAGCTTCACTTCTTTGAAGCAGCTATTCATGCTGTTGTAAAACTGATGGACTCGATTTCTGTTCAGAAACAGCTCTGCTAGATTCACATTTTATTCAAGAAGATTTAGCTTCAAGACTGTTTTTGGACTGTTTCTACTGGCTAGTGTCTCAGTTTTCAAGCAGCATCACTCAGTCATATTATTAACCTCATGAACCCGACTTGCCCGGCATCAGAACCAAAAGTAGCCGCTGCTTTAAATCTGCCACCAGAGAAGTTACGTCACATCCGCATCACCTGTTTTCAACAGTGGCATCATTTAATCAAGCTCAGCATGTAGAGCCATAGATTTCTGTGTGCAATGAGTGTATAAAAGATGCACCAGGCTTGGTTTGCTTGCTCATGTCGGGTCAATTTGGGTTTGGACAGAAACTTTCAGACTGCATTCTTCTTAAATTCTCTTTAAAGGCTCTTCATATAACGTGATACTCATATCACTGCTGTCGGAACAAAACCTTGTATTTCCAAAATGGTAACTTTACAGGAGAAGGAAAAAACCTTCTTTACTTTCAGTGTAAGTCAATGGAACCAGACTTTCTTCCAAGTCATTTTTGGCCAATTTTTTGGTCTATTCATCACAAAATTTATACACAATGTAAAGAGCAACAGGCATTTTCAAATTATGTCAAAAACTGAAAAACAGCAAAAATGGGTGAGGTTTTGTCCCGACAGCAGTGATATGCTTGATATCAAAATGCTCCGTTATCTTCATCACTACTTTCCAAAACCGCTGCAGCAACTTCAGCAGCTGTAAACTCTCTGCACGCCATTTCACATGAGTCTCTATTTCACAAGGGTTTCCGGTGTGATGGTCAGTCCTTAGTGATTTCCTGAGTGTCCATTGGTCAGTTTCACACAGAATGTAGACGGACACACAAATCCACCAGTTCCACACGGTGAGAGGCAGATGACGTGTATCTCAGCCCCTCTTCATAGGCTCATAACTCCGGATGTGAGTCTCGTAGGATCTCGTGATAAGATGGAATGGAAAGGGCGACTCTACAGATTCAGGAAGTGTTTGAACTGGATTTCTGAGCTGGATCATCACAAAGATACACAAACAGATATAGAGACAGAGAATTTGATGTGCGGACGCAGAAGGTTAAAGCTCTATAACAGTTTGAGAGAAGTAATAATTTGTAATAGGTTACTTTTTGGAGTAACTAACCAAACACTGTGTGTGTCTGTAGCATATGTAGCATATGTGTGTGTGTGTGTGTGTGTGTGTGTGTGGTGTGTGTGTGTGTGTGGTGTGTGTGTGTGTGTGGTGTGTTTCTCCTCTACCTGGTCCTGCTGCTGCTTGGCGAGCTCCATCTGCTGCCTCTGTTTCTCTATCTGTGATGCGGCCAGTTTCTTCTGCTCCTCATGTGCGGCCAGTAGCTGCTCTCTCAGGCTGCTCAGCTGGCTGATCATGCCCATCAGCTGCCGCTCCTTCTCCGCCAGGCTGTCCGGGGTACCTGTGGGGGTGGCAGGCCAGAGGTCAGAGGTCAGCCAGGGTGCAGGACGCCACATGTGTGTCATCACTCTCGCGCCACTGCCGGATTTGGCGAGGGCTCGCCGAGCATTTGGCGTGAAGTGATCTTTGACCCTTGTTTGGGTTGAGCTGCTGTAGCATATGAGGTGATATACCATTAGACGGCGAGAGAGGAAGAGTTAAATCACTCTCAGGGATGTCGGTCGACCTAGAAGACCACCAGTCTCACAGCGTGTGTGTACACGTGTTTGTTTTGGTACATTTTCAGGACATTTTTATGTCCTAAGCTTGAAGGAAAAGCAGAGACCAACAAAAAGTGGACAGTAATGATATACATATGACATATTATTATAGGTATATGTATTGTAGGTACATATATGTAATATATAAAACACATATGTAATACATACAACACATATTACTATTACCCATAAATACTTGCATATATATCTCACACATGCCACATAATATTACAGATAAGTACTTGCATATGTGTAATACACATGTGAGATATTGCCTATAAGCACAATATTACATTTATTATAATATTACATATATTATTTCATATGTGTATTAGACATATATAATAAATTTGGGAGATATTATTATTACATATGGGTATGGATATATATGCAACACATATGGGACATATTACATATAAGTACTTGCATATATGCAATACATGTGGGACATATTATGACATGACAAGCACTTGCACATATGTAATACACATGTAGGCACTATATTATATGTATTATAATATTACATATTTAATGTGTGTATTAGGCATGTATAATAAATTTGAGAGCTATTATTATTGCATATGGGTACAGACACATATACAACACATATGGGACATATTACATATAAGTACTTGCATATATGTAATACATATAGGACATATTTATATTATTACATATATGCCTTTACAGATATATAATACACATGGGACTTATTATTTTTTGACTTATTATAATATACATGGGACTATATTATTTTTGCAAATAGGTACTCACAAATATATATATATATATATATATATATATATATAGAGCATACAGAAAATATTTTTGTATATGATATTGGTATATAGGCACTTACATATAAGTAATACATATGGGTGACAGTATTACATATAGGCACTATATTATATTCATCATATTATCACAAATGTTTACTTAGACATATATCATAAATGTATATATAAAGCATATGGGAAAATTATTAATATATATACATAGGCACTTACATATTTGTAATAGATATGGACCCTATGTATGACCCCACATCCTAACATTATATAAAAACGAGCCTGTGTGTGCAGTCAGTCACCCTGCCTGCTCCAAAAGTCAACAGAGAACAAATGTATGTCAGTAGGTTCATGTGTGTGTGTGTGTGTGTGCATTTGGGGTCACATATCTATAGGTGTACACCCCACCCCCTCACACACACACATGAACACAAACGCACACACACACTGCTTGCACAATCCCCCTTTGTTCCCTGCTCTACCTTGAGAGGGGCCACATTCCTCGATGGGGGAAAACAGATGAGGAGAAAAAAGAGAAAAAAAAACGAGGGAGTCACAGGAGCTGACCTGACCTCGTGCCCCCCACAGGAAGGTGAGAGTATGGTCCATTTGCCCCCCCCCCCCATCTCCAATCCCCTAACCACACACACACACACTCAACAATGAACAATAAAGGCAACTGTCAGGAGCGGCTCATTGGAAAAATAAGCCAGCGGCTGTCCTTAACAGCTCAGAGACTGGGCCTTTCACACACGGGTGTGGAGCAGAGACGCTCGGCACAAGAGAGGGGCTTGTGTGGAAAGTGACGGCTCTTCCAGAGGGAGAAAGAAAGAGAGAAAGATGGAGAGAGAGGGAGAGACGGAGGGATCAAAGGGAGCTTTCTCTCGTTCTCTTGCAGCTGAAAGGATCTCTGTAGGCCTCTCATTCATAGAGGGGGCTAATAAAGCAAAAACACAGGGAGGAGTGTAATACTGTAGGTATTCTTAGGCTAGTGGGCATACAGACACTCTTAGAAAGTCCTTACTTTCTTTTTGCTGCAGTAAGTCAGAGATCACCCTTCATTCATTTACTTTACAGGCAAAACAAGCATCAGGAGATACTTCTAAAATTAGACACATGATAAATGCACTTAAGCAATGAGAAAGAAAAAGCTCAACAAATGATTAAAAGCTACAGAGAAAATGGGGCTCCTAACAACCACCTGGAAGACCTGGTAGACACCAAAACTGCCCCTATCAGATAAACAGCACTTAAAGCTTTCATCTTAGAGAGAGAGGAGAAAATCAAGCTGCTTCAGATCTGAAAACATCCACAGGTGTTTTTGTCCATATTTCCAAAACAACTTTCAGGTAACGGCTGATCTGACTGGTATTTAATTACATAATTAGTTGCATAAAGCACAACAATACCTTTGCATTAAATCCATATCATAATATTACTACTTACAAACAGGACAAATTTCTCATTTCAATGAGCCACAAGCAGGAAGTATTTACTATAGAGTTGCTGATGAACTTTTAAGGATTAAACACACAAGAATGCATGCACACACACACACACACATTTGTTTCTGTGAATTGTGGGGACTTTCAATTCATTGGTCACACTTTATTTGGATGGTCCTCTGTAGATGGTCTACAGATGCTTATATTATTTACAAACCTCCTGGTGCTACTCAGTTGAGTATCAACAACATTATGGTTAGGGTTAGATTTAATATAATCTTTCACACTCATTGATATTACACATTGATATTAAGTTGAATGTTACAGATAGACTGAGTAACTGCAAAACGTCTACAGTGGACCATCCAAATAGTGTTACCCATTCATTTCCTTGAGACTTACCCAAGCCTTAACCAGAACTACTACTAGCCTAACCTTAAAATACGTCTTTACCTTTAAATTCAATGATTTTGGATGTAGGACAAGCTTGTGGTCCCTCTCGGAAGAAAGGTCCCCACAACGTAAGAGTATAAACAGGTTTCCCACAATGTAGCATAAACCCGGTAAACACACCCAAACACCCCCACACATTTGTTTCTGTGAATTGTGGGAACTTCCATTCATTGGTAACACTTTATGTCGACGGTCCTCTACAGATGATCTACAGATACTTATATTATTACCACATTTTCTGGCCGTACTCAGTTGAGTATCAACAAAATTATAGTTTAGGTTGAGGAGTAGGTTTAGGTTTAGGATTAGATTTAATATAACTTTAAGTTCAGTTGCATTTCTTTGATATTAAGTTCAATGATGAGTAACTACAAAGCATCTACAGTGGATCATCCAAATAAAGTGTTACCAAATATACCTTTACTATAAAATTGAAAGATGTTAAAATTTAAAAATGTTGTGGGGACAAGCTTGTGGTCCCCACAAGGAAGAAAGGTCTCCGCAATGCAAGTGTGTAAACAGGTTTGGGTCCCCACAACATAACATAAACCTGGTACACACATGCGCAAACACACACCCCTACACACACACATCCCCACAAACACCCACACACCAACACACACACACACACGAGAAACTCAAGTCTCATCAATCAGGCCCAATGGCTTTTTAGCTTGGCTGTTGAGAGTATAGGCCAGGATCAATAAGCAGTTTCCTCTGCTTCCAAACATCCTTAGGCTACTTCTGCAGGCCGCCTCATATCACAGTCCGCAGTAATTAACCAATCTGTAACAACGTAATAGCTGTCAAGCAGCCCTCACCCCTAATTAATGGCCAGACTTAACAGATAACTCCCCGAAGCACTGCACTGAGGTATAGAGAGAGAGAAGAGAGAGAGAAAGAAGCAGAGAGAGAGAGAGAGAGAGAGAGAGAGGAGAAAGCCTAGCCTGAGGGCACTCAATCACTTGTTCTCTTGCTCTTTTCTTTTCAACCTCGGTTTCTCTCTCTCTGTCTCTCTCTCTCTTGGTCCCTGACCGTCTCTCTCCTTTGCCATGCCTGGTCTGATCTCTGACACGCTGCTCTCATGTGATGCTACAGAACATCCAGTTGAATCGGCTTCCGAAAACAGATCACGTCCTTACGCGACTCTTCGCTGGACGCTGTTCAAGCTCTCTGAAGAGCCGGCCAGTGATACATATACACGCTGGCTGGTTCCTCTCTAGCTGGTTAGTGAATCGTGGCATCTGATCATTCAAGTCTCAGGCCCCATTTCACCCCTCACCCCTGCCACTTAGCGCTTAGCCCGCTGGTTCACGTCTAGGGGTAGGGAGTCCCGATTGTTGTTGAGATAGAGGAGTAGGGCGAAGTATTAGAGCTACATGACCCTCCAAATGGAGGTGTTTTAGAGACTCCAAACAGAGAGATATGAGAAAAAAAAGAAAAACTGACAGGATGGCTGAACAAGAGACCAAAGAAACCCACAAATGTGGGAATTTCTCAGTTAAAAATTACAGTAACCACTTTATATTAGTTTAATGTTGTTTCCATATATTATGGTCATTTTCTTCATAACAAGCATAAAAAATCACAACTAGTAACATGCTGATGTCTCGGTAGCTACCTGGCTAAATTTCCTGTTCCACCTTAACTAGTCCAGCAGTTACATTCTGGCTCCTCAAGCATCAGAACTGCTACTCCATTTCAGGTGGAACTGGAATTTGAGACTTCAGCTTCATATCAAAGAATTAGGGGTGGGCAATAATAAAATAACCTAAAATAATAATAAAATAATCTTGATAATTATTGCACCCCCTTCTTTGAAGGCATATGATCCCTAAATGTAACTAAAGCCCAGCAGTGAGGAGCTGAACTTTACCCTCCTCTGCTGTCACTGCAGACTGGCAGGGTCGCCTACAGAGCAGCGCTGGTAGCTGTTAATGAAGTGATGCTCTTTTTATTTGAGGGTCCCATTTCAGAGGGAAGATTTCAACCACTACCCTGTAACTCAGCTCCAAGGGGTAAGGAGACTCTCGAAAACGAGTATGAGGTCGTATCACTCGTCTTCACTCTTGCTCAATACACGTCTTTTCTGCTTCAGATCTGTGCAAAAGTCAGAGACCACTGCTTTCGCCTCCAACACCAACTGTAACATCAAATCTATCAGTATTTAATTTAATCACTCTTTACTTTGGTGCATGCTAATGTCTTCCTTTCTTCCAATCTTAAAACTCCAATAGGTCTGAAAACATCCACAGGTGTTTCTGTCCATCCTTCCACTGTGAGAAGACGACTCAGCGCTGTGGGTCTGAAAGGATGTGTAGCTGTCAAGAAGAACCTCACTGAGAAAAGGAGACGGACACATCAAACAAAGAAGCTGAACGACGGACTGACCTCCCCAGAGTCCAGACCTCAACACCACTGAATGTGTTTGATTACTTCAGAAAATGATCAACCAGCTTCTAAGACTGAACTTTGGAGGTGTGTCTGCAGATTCTTTGGGAAAATGAAAGCGAGTGTAATTTTCGGCTTGTTTCCTGATGGAAAATGAACAACTTGTACATAACGGCTGATCTGACTGGTACTTAATTACATAATTAGTTAAATAAAGCACAACAATACCTTTGCATTGAATTCAAATCATAATAAAATCTCTTCTACTTTCAAACAGAACTGTGGAATTAACTGTATTTCTTGTTTCAATGAGCCACAAGCAAGAAGTAATTATTACAGAATTACCTCACACTTCTTTTATTTGCTGGTGAACTTTTAAGCGTTAAACACACATAGATGCATGCATGCACACACACACATGCTTGTTTCTGTGAATTGTGGGGACTTCCATTCATTTCCCAGAGACTTAACCAAACCTTAACCAGAACTACTACTAGCCTAGCCCGAAGTCTGACCTTAAAATATGTCCTCACCTTAAAATTGAACGATTTACCCACAAGGATAAGGGTCCACAAGGAAGAAAGGTCCCCACACTGTTAGTGTATGAACATGAATCTGCACGTCCAATAGAATTTCCCATTTCAATGGGCCACAAGCTGAGAAACGAAGAAAAGGAAGAATACTGCACTAGAACACGACATCTGGAATCTGAAATGTGAGGTTTTATGGACTAACAAGTCTAAATTTGTCACTGGGATTACTCGGATCACGAGACACAGAAAGTACAACCAACTTCTAAGACTGAACTTTGGAGGTGTGGAGAACTAAAGTAAATACAAGCTTCCTGAAAAGGATGGAAGGTGAATGAAAAAATGCACGAAATACTGAAAATGTGACTCCATTTAGTTCTGCTAAATAAATGGAAATTAAATGAACGAATGGTGGTCCCGGTTTTGCAGTCCTATAACGAGTGCAGCCCACCTCCATGTGCCGAACACTTCCCGGCGAAGGCCAGTTAGCCCCTTTCAAAGCGCCCGCGCTCAGGGAAACATGCACTTCCACTTGTAGCTCTAACAGCGTACCGTGTTCCCGCTGCGCTCGAGTGGCCGAACACGGTGTATCATTAACCACGCTAACGCTAACAGCCGCGGTTGCTTAGCGAGTCCAACCCCCCCCCCTTCACCACCCCCACCCCTCCCCAACTCCGGTAGCTCATTAACCGGCCAGACGGCGAGGTTAGCGGCGAGGCTAACCTTCAAACGTGCACTGTAAAAGCTTCAAAAGAATACAACTTTGGCTCAACAAAGAAACTTCTGCACGCCAATGACATCAGCAGCTGTTCTCCAGCACAACGAGGCCGGTGTGATGAAGAGAGAAAGAGAGTTTTCTCCTTTATTCTGGCAGACTGGGGTGCATGCGAGCGAGCGAGAAAGGGAGAGAGAGAGAGAGAGAGAGAGGCGCTTCTGCCGGCTTCCATTAGGAGGAACAAAAAGCAGGTGGCACATTTACGGAGCTGCTAATGCGCTGTGACTGACTGTGGAGGAGCAGGAGAGCGACGGGGAGCGCGAGGAGACGGATACTGTAGCGACAGCACAACAAACGCAGAAAAAGAAAAACAGAAAAGGAAAAAACGTGCATGCAGGCGTGTGGCTGGATCTTCCCGCTTTACCTTTGATCTCTCCAAAGTGGCCAGAGCCCATGGCCAGCAGCTTGTCCTTCCAATCCTTGGATAGCAGCCTCTCAATGCTGGGGGCCTCTGCAGAGAGAGAGAGAGAGAGAGAGAGAGAGAGAATTAGCACAGGCAGGCCACATCACAATAAAGCTCATTTAAAGTCCATTTGCTGTAATAAAGGCTCGTCTCTCTAATGGCAGCAACAGCGGGGTGGGAGGAAGAGAGGATGGAGGGAGAGAGAGGGAGAGAGAGAGAGAGAGAGAGAGAGATGGAAAGACAGGCAGAGGAGAGCCGCTTCCTCACCTGCTGTTAGCCAATCATTAGCCCTGTGCTCCAGCTCACACAAAGAGGCTCTTAATGCACCACCACAATGGACACATTATCGAGCCTGCCGCTTTGTTTTTCTAATACGCTACGCGGACCCCCAGCTCCAGCAGCCCCCCACCCCTAACGCTAATTACTAACCTGCCAAGGACGGACGGCTACAACGAGAGAGGGGAAAATTACCACAACTCTCGACTCCCTCCCCCCCCCACCAAATACATAAACACACACACAACATCTCTGTCACCATCACAACAGTTAACGGAGACGTCAAACAAGAAGGAGGTGAAGGGAAAGGGAGAGAGACGGACGCGGTGCTGTGGCACCGAGGAAAGAGAGGGATTATCCCCCCCGACATGAAGGGGCACAGTAAGATCTACAGTTATACAAACTCAAGCCGAGTTCATCTGCTTCGCTCTGGCTCAAATAAACCCTGCAGGAGTCGACGCTGACGACTTTACAGGTGCTTCTTAATGGCCTACCAACACTACTGCCCCGTGCACCACGGCTGCTTATTTCTATTATTAGTTATGCACTCACACTAGGCCAGCGGTGTCTAACTCAGCCACTGAAAAGGCCATATTAAAAATTCTCAACAAATTCATGGCCCAGAGAATGCCTATGCTTTTAAATTTTCTATTTTAAAGAACATTCTGCTATAACTCAAACTGGCCATTGTTATTTCCAAATATGGCAAAATATCAACGGAGAAATACAAGCACTTGTAGCAGACCTTGAAATATTACATGAAAAACTGTCCTACCTACCTATTTACTTGATCTAGATACCTGATATTATGTTGCAGGGCATGCTGGGGATTGTAGTGCAGGGCTTTGTGAAACTAAACTGGTGCCGAACTGAAACTAACTGCTAAATAGTAATAGAAAATTAAAATAATGCTGCCAGCCAGATAGAATTGTGTCGCGGGCCTTGTGTTTGACATATGGGCACTAGGCAATCCGTGATCGAGCACGTTTGACCCCCAAGTCTGAATCATTTGACACAGTTCAGCTACATTCGGGCACAGTGCACATCTAGTGTGATTGCTAACCGCCCGAGCATGGAACCCAAACATGATGTCAATGATGCGACTGTCCCACTTTCCAATTCATCTGAGGATATTTGGGCTAATAACGGGTCTGGATCTCACCGTATTGAAAAATGCACATTGTTGTTGGCAAGTAAAGCCGCAAATTCGTCCCTCAACATCAGCTGCCTGCGTAAAAACCTTATACATACAGCACAATTAACAGAAAATCACTAATGGATAAACCTACAAGGCGTCTGAGCGCCCAAAATGACTCCGAATAAGCCGCAAAGTAAGTATAATCATGAACTGTGCTGTGCTGTGCAAGGCGGGGCAATTGTGCTCGGGCCAAGAGCGTTAAGTGTGAGCGCAGGCCAGCGGGGGAGTGGGGAGGGGGGGACAATCGTGCTTGGGCATGGGACAAATCAGCCGAGTACACTCTCAATGTACGTGGGGTTCTGATGCTCCTTGGTGATTTTATTGCCTTCCAGATCAGCCACACTGGTCTTTTTCTCCCTCCTCCTCTTAGAAGATTACAGGCTGAATTACCGACTGTTTTGCACTAAACTCTGCTGCTCTGATCATTTCCGTGATCGTCTCCGTGGTTTTCCAGGCAGGTGCCACCTCGCAAAATGATGTTGGACTGCTGCCCCTTGACCTAAACATTAAAGATTTTCTGAATTGCGAAACAACAAACGGACGCTTTCGTAGAATCTGACATAAAAGTTAAAGCAGTTGCAGAACAAACACTGTTGATTGTTTTTGATAACTTTATCCAGTTTATATAGTAGGTCCAGGTAGTTGCTATGGTGTTCTTAGGTCCATGTGATGGTACCCAAGCTTGCTTAGGTGTTTCGAGGCTGTTGCTATAGTATCCCAGGTGGTTGCTAAGGTATTGCTAGCATACTTGTATGATGATAACACAAGAGGAGTGGCCTAAAACAAAAGTGATATATATATATTATATAAGAGGAATGACTGTTTCGGGATGTTGACCTTCCCCACCCATTCATTCCTAGGGAAAAAAAAATACATCTGAACGAATGCTGTGTGAACACTGCATGTCAGGAAAGCACAAGTAGTCTATTTGGGTATCGGCTCTACCATCCTGCAAAGTTTCATGGTTCTAGCTCGAAAGCTGCAGGAGGAATGGAGTTGCACATTTTTAACAGTAGAGTAATAATAAATAAGAAAGTAAAGAAACTTTTTTAGAAAGCTTTTTTTTTTAGAAAGTTCTGTCCTTAAAGATCTGGTGTTACACTCTGATAAAATACAGCCCACTGGAAAACCGCCTGTCCTGTGGACATTTTACTGTAAAGCAGACGTCCCCTGATAGACTAACCCAATCCAAATAGGGCTAAAGTTATCTTTTTTTGCCTTTCTGGGTTCCACCCATGCACTCTCTCCCTCCCTCTCTTTTGTAATGACTCGTTGATTGCCTGTAATCACATGGCTTTACGCCCTTACGGTGCTGCCAAAGGAGCAGATGCCCCGTGCATGACTACTGACATTTATACAACCTATTCAGCCAGACGCACAGCAACGTGAGAAGGAGAAATTCACACAGAAACATGTACATACATCAGCATTTAAAAATATGCATCAGCTTCATTTCATATGAGAGAAAGATTACACGCACGCACATATACACGTCTGGGGAAGTGAATAAAAACAGCAGGTGGCACCATTAGTAATTCTGCTGCAGCTCATAACACTGAACACCAACCTGAAGCTTTGGGACGGATACAGACTGCAGGCCCCAGGTGGGTCAAACACGCACAGGTTTGTTTTTGTACAATGCCAGGATGTGGGGTCATACATACGGCCTATGTGCATTGGATGTTGTATGTATTGCTGCTGTACAAAAATTATTATCATTATTTTTTAATCATTTTAAAATGCCAGCTGCCCATCACACTGTGTGAAAGTTTCATGATAAACTGACCAGCAGAACTGCCCCAAAACCACTTGGAAAAAAAATGTCTTCACAAGTTACCATTAGATCATCACCTACTGGATATTTATGTGATTTTTTAATTAATTAATTATTATTATATTTTTTTTGGATAGCAGATTTTTTTTTCCTTCAAAATGTTAAAAGTGCTTGATTATTCCCAAGTGTAAATAAAAAAAAATCCCATATTTTAATGTATATATAGTTACATATCCTCACACACACACACACACACACACATATATATATATATATATATATATATATATATTACAGTATGGTCCAAAAGTCTGAGATAACTAGTAAAAATGCTTAAATAATACACTAATTGAGTTTTTAAATAGAAATTATATTTTAATCTGAACAAAGAGTAGAAACTTTGACATATTAACATGAATTTCAGAATTAATATATAAGACTATATATATATATATATATATATATATATATATATATATATATATATAAGGATATAAAGGATAAATGTCTTAGCTCTGTTAAGGTAACACCATTTTATTACAAATAATTTTGTAATTATTTGTATTGTCCATTTACCACAACATAAAAAAATGACAAAAATAGGTATACAGGGCTTTGTTTCGACAGCAACTCCATTTTTTTTTCGCTTTTTACTTTTCTACATCATTCAAACACAGAAGCTGTCATTCATATTGTCTGAAAATTTCATGAATGATAGACTGACAGAAAAGCTCCAAAACTGCTTGGAATAAAAGCTCTTAGCATTAACTTACACTGAGGGTAAAGAAGGTTTTTGCGTCCTGCTGTAAACTTGCAATTGTGGAAATACTTATTTTTTCTGGACAGCAACAATATATATATATATATATATATGCAAGTACACATAATGTTCTGAGCCTAATCCTACGCCTGACCCTAATCTTAACCTCAGGAACCAAAGAGAAGTGTTTTGCAGCTTTTGTGATGAAAACTGTGCACAAAGTCAGGAGCACTTTGCTGGTCCTAACATTGTAGGTTAGATGTGACATTTTTGTCCTGAAAATGCATTTAAACAAACACACACACACACACACACACACACACACACACACACACACACACACACACACGCTCTCTCTCTCTCTTTCTCTCTCCTGCCCTCTTCTGCTCTCTCTTTTAGCTCCATTCAGCCAATCACCTTCAGTTGTGCTGTTGCCCCTGACAGCAGTCTCGCTGTAGCCCCAACAGGTGTTATTAGCCTTCATCTCTCTCTCTCTCTCTCTCTCTCTCTCTCTCTCTCTCTCTCTCTCTCTCTCTCTCTCTCTCTCCCTTCGTGTGTAACAATGACGGACGCTTTTAAGCCAGAGAGCTTTGACAAGTGAAAGGGCCGAACCAAATGGCCACTCGATTGGCCTCTCTCTCTCTCTCTCTCTCTCTCTCTCTCTCTCTCCTGCACCCTAATAGTTATTATTTTTATTTATTAACATGGCCACCATTGTCGGCGGTGACAGGCGCTCCACTTTAACTATTAATACAAATGGGTAAGGGCTCTGGTTTTATGACAGCTCACAGCAGGGATCGCATCGCTGCTTTATTGCCAAATGGAAGGCGCAGGAAGCCGACCCGCTGATGTATCTGCCTTTCATGCCACTTTTCCTCTGTCTCCCTCTCTCTTTCTTTCTCTCCTTCTTTTCTTTTGGCTTTTGTACAGGAAGAAACGCGGTGGCCTTGGAAGTCTTGAATTAACACGTAGCGCTAACTAACTCTGCCCCTCCGGCGCTTTACATCAGTGGACATTGATGTGGTGGGCTTTGTTCAGCT